AAAATTGGAATAGAATAGAATAGAATAGAATAGAATAGAATAGAATATAGAATAAAATTGGAATAGAATAGAATAGAATAGAATAGAATAGAATAGAATAGAATAGAATAGAATAGAATCACAGAGTTGGAAGGGACCTTGGAGGTCTTCTAGTCCAACCCCCTGCCTAGGTAGGAAACCCCACCCCACTTCAGACCAATGGTTATCCAACCTCTTTTTTTGAAAAACTTCCAGTGTTGGAGCATTCACAACTTCTGGAGACAAGTTGTTCCATGGATTCATTGTTCTAACTGTCATGAAGTTTCTCCTTAGTTCCAAGTTGCTTCTCTCCTTGCTTAGTTTCCACCCATTGCTTCTTGTCCTGCCCTCAGGGGCTTTGGAGAATAGCTTGACTCCCTCTTCTTTGTGGCAGCCCCTGGGGTATTGGAATGCTGCTATCATGTCCCTCCCAGTCCTTTTCATTAGACTAGACATACCCAGTTCCTGCAACCTTTCTTGATATGTTTGAGCCTCCAGTCAGTCCCCTAATCATCTTGGTTGCTCTTCTCTGCATGCTTTCTAGAGTCTGCACATCTTTTTTTACATTGTGGCAACCAAAACTGGATGCAGGATTCCAAGTGTGGCCTTACCAAGGCCTTATAAAGTGGTATGAACACTTCACGTGATCTTGATTGAGTTGGCATGATCCCAAGGGATCATGGATGCTTTGGCACTTCTCCTTCGGTAGGTTCCTAACTCCAGCACCTTTGCTAGGTGCAAACATTATAATTACATGGATTTTCAAAATGACGTTCATTGCCATCAGCCTGAAAACCAGGAAGTAGTGGACAAGCTGTGCACAATTGTTTTTCTTTGTGCGATGTAAAAGGTGGTGTGTTTTTTGGGTGGCTCGATTTGGTCAAGTGTGAGCTTAGAAATCAGGAGACGGTGAGTTCTAGTCCCGCCTTAGGCATGAAAGAGAATTGGGTGACTTTGGGCCAATCACCAGGAGATGGGGAGTTCTAGTCCTGTTTTAAGCATGAAAGCCGGCTGGGTGACTCTCTTCTCTCAGCCCAGCCCACCTCGCAGGGTTGTGGTTGAGAAAGCAGGAGGAAGAAGGGGTATTCCATACGTCCACCCCTTGGAAAAGAAATTATCAAATAAAGAAATATTCCAATGTTGATCTGGCATCTCCTTTGAGCTGTCCCTTCGCAGCCCCTTCCTCTTAATGCCAAAATTCGAACCCCCCGCTACGACCCCCCCCCCCCCCCCCCCAAAAAAAAATCCCAGACTGAGAGAGCTGAATTGTGGTCATCTTTTCGGCAGCCAGTCTTCTCACTTCCCCCAACCCGGTGTAAATTCTTCAAATATTTCTATGGTCTTTTTACAGTTGCCAACAGAAAGGGGGGGGGGGGAAGGGGTTTGAAAGAGCAGTGCGGCAGCTTGGAAATCGAAATCACATTTCATACATAGTTTTTCAAAGATAGTAACTAGGTGACTGAAGTTTCTGCCCCGCAAAGATCTAATTGGAGAACATGATTGATGACTCTTGGCTATGAATGTGTCTCATTGGAGAATATGAATTATGATACACCCAGGGGGTGGGGGAAACCCAGGGT